AAACAAGCTGCATAGTACTATAACTGTGGGCATTTCATAGTTTACTGAGCCATCTCCCTATTAATGTACATTTAGATTGTTTTCATTTTTAGTCTCCACAAACAGCACAATGAGCATCATAACATTAAATACTTAAGCTCTTATTTCAATAGGAGAACTTTCCCCAAGTGGAATTTCTGGATCAAAAGTTATTATATTTTTAGTGTTTTGAATATTGCCAGGTTACTTTCCCAAAAGATATAAAATCTACATTCCTGCATTTCTGTTTCTTTGCATCCTCACCAGGGGATGAAAAATGTTACTGTACTATAATTTATAATTCTCTAATTCTTAATAGTGGTATTTTTCACATTTTCATTTTGATTTCTTCTTCTTCTTTGACTTACCTGTTCACATTCTTTGTGATTTTTTTTCCTTCTTTTGTAAAATTAAGTCTGGACACTGAAGCCAAACAGCCTAGATTAGAAGTCTGCTTAATGTTGTGAGATTTTGGGATAAGTAGGGAACTCTCATACCTTCAGTGTTTCTCTGTTTCTCTTTTTAAAGGTTTACTTATTTATTTGAAAGGCAGAGCAAGAAAGAGAGAAGGACAGAAGGAAGGAGGGGAGAGAGAGAAAAAAATTGAGGTCTTCTATCCATTGATTCACTCCCTAAATGGCCATAATAGCTAGGTTGGGACTGGAAACTCACTCCTGTCCTCCTACATGGGAAGTAGGGGCCCAAATAATTGGACCATCTTCCACTGCCTTCCCAGGCACATTAACAGGAAACTGGATCAGAAGCAGGGTAGCAGATTTTTTTTAAAAAAGATTTATTTATTTATTTGAAAGTGTAGCAGAGAGAGAGAGAGAGGGAGAGATCTTCTACCCCCTGGTTCGTTCCCCAGATGCCTGCAATGGCCAGGACAGAGCCAGGCTAAAGCCAGGAGCCAGGAGCTTCGTCCAGTCTCCCACATGGGCAGCAGGGCCCATATGGTTAAGCCATGTTCCACTGCTTTACCCAGGCCATTAGCATGCATCTGGGTTGGAAGTGGAGCAACCAGTACACAAACTGGCACCCATATTGGATGCTGGTGTCACAGGCACTTACCGGCTACACCACAGTGCCGGCCCCTATAGCCAGATCTTGAACTAGCATTCCTATGTGGGATACACGTGTAGCAGGGGCTTAACCCAGTGTGCTACAGTGCCAGTCCCTAATGCTTTCTTTTTAATGAGCAGAGATGATAATAGAATCTGCCACCTAAGGTTAAACAAAATTTAAATGGGTATCTAGGATAAAATCTAGCATGTAGATACTGGCTATTATCTATAAGTATTAGCCTTATTATGATTATGATTATGATTTATATTTATCTTATTCCTAGCTCGGGTGAGGACCTGTCATTTTCTTGCCTCCTAGATTTTACTTGATCATTCCTTCAGCTACTGTTTATTGGGTATCCCCTTTGTTTAGTGTATCATTCTAGGCCTTCGAGGGATGGGAAGTTCTTTAAGAAGCCAACATTTTTTTTCTTCTATATTGCAGCTGAACTTTCAGTGTAGGTAAAGTAGATTACAGACTTTTAGATTATTTTAATCCTATCTGAGATTGTCCTTTCTTTCCCATTAAAGTATCTATCTAGTGAAGAATAAGCTAGTTGGGTGTTAGTCACAACATCATGATATAGAACACAAAGTGTATGTCTTGTCTAGTATTTGATTTTTTACCTTTTAATATGACTGCATCCCTATTTTTTTTTAAAGATTCATTTATTTATTTGAAAGTCAGAGAGGCAGAGGCAGAGAGAGAAGTCTTTTATCCACTGGTTCACTCCACAAATGACCACAACAGCTGGAGCTGCACTGATCTGAAGCCAAGAGCTAGGAGCTTCTTCTGAGTATCCCATGTGGGTACAGGGGCCCAAAGATTTGGACCATCTTCTACTGCTTTCCCAGGCCATAGAAGAGAGCTGGATCGGAAGTGGAGCAGCTGGGACTTGAACTGGTGCCCATATGGGATGCCAGCACTGCAGGTGGCAGCTTTACCCACTATGCCACAGCGCCAGCCCCCTTATTTGTTCTTTTATTACATGGAGTGCGTAGTAGTTCCTGCTGTATTCATTTCTCATCTTTAGCACAGCTAACTTGAGAAAACAAGCGTCTTTCAGAAAGAAACGGGGAATCGCATCTACATTAACAATCCATTGGCTTACTTTAGTGCCTGGCATCACAGTATTTGTCTTTGCTGAAGGATTCAGCAGGCTATTCAGAAGCCGAGTGTGTGAGTATTGGTGGTGGCTTATAGCACTGCTGGTTCTGTAGGAAGCATCATGGGCAGGATGCAGTGGAAGGCAAAGTCTTTGGGCCCAGTTAAGTGGATTACAGTTGCACATCCTGGAGCTCTTTTAGTGTGAGAATGAGAAAGGTGATAGGCAAGAGGGTGTAGATTGAAGTAACCCTAGTTCCCATAAGGAACCTGCCTCTTCCGGGTTTTAACCCTGTAAGCATAATCAGGAGATTTGTCAGAATGCCCCTTCAAGCCTTCAGGCTCCCACAGGCAGCGTCAAGGTAAACCTTGCTGTGGCAAGGGACCTGAGCCTTCATCTTGTTCACCATTCTCGCTTAGCATTAGGAGAGCTAAGTAGTTTGCATGGGTAATTGACTTACTGAACATAAAGTAGAACCTGGTGTCTTAGTTAATATTCTCATGATCATTTCATTTAGCTGGACATAGACAGTTGGTTCAACGTGGCCATGATACTTTGGGTCATTGAGAAGGACCTATTAGAAAACTCACATAATTGAGAAAATGCACAGAATGTTTAATTTTTCATTAGCTTGAATAGAAAGATAATAATAGATTTCATTCAGCCACCAATGGAAAGGACAAGACACCTTTTCCACCATGGCTGTCAGTTGCTAAGATATGCCTCAGGACATTGAGCAAAGTAGGAAGTCAAAAAGGCGTTCTGTTGTGATTCCATAGACTTAACTGTGAGAGTTAACAGAAAGCTCTGGCCCTGAGAACAGGATGTAGATGTAGATGTAGAGACATAAGGTATGAGAAGTAATGATGTTAGAGATGACTTCTACATTGTGAATGTCTTAGAAGTCTCTTTCTCTTCTCAAGTCCTTTATCTATAGCTCCCATCTGTGCCCCGACGTGTGTGATTCCTATAATGGCTTATCTCTTTCTGTCCACTCCTCAATGTTGGTCCCCCCGGGATTCTGCCCTTAGACTCACTTTCACACTGTCTCTCAGGGGGTCTCATCTGCTCCCAAGACTTCCAGTCCCACTTTGTGCTGATGTTCCCAAAGTCTAACTCCAGCTGTTCTCTCTGTCCCTCCAGCCTGCTCATGTGTGTTTCAGACTGGAGATCTGACGGGCATGCCTGCACTCCATTCTGATTGTCATCTTTTCCACAAACTCACTCTTCTCAGATTATCTAAGTTAATGGCTTCTTGGTTTGGTGGGCTACCTACTCAAGATATAGGGGATTTGGTATGGACTTTGTTGGGAGACTGAGAGGCTGTTGTAATAACCCAAGAAAAATACTTGTAGACCTCCTTGTCTCACCTTTTCAATCCATTGCATTATCCTTGCCCAAGTGATGCTTCTAAAATACAGAGCATATTGTTTTATTCCCTTGCTTACATGATGCAGGATATTTTAGATTCTGAATTAATTCCATAGTCCTTATCATACAAGTTCCAGACTCATTTGTCTTTCTTTTTCCCTTTGTGCTCAACCTTTCGGTCACAGTGAATAACTTGGCCATTGCTTAAGTGTGACTTTCCCTTTGCACCTGCATTTTCTCCTCCTAGAATGCCCTTCTCTCCGTTCCTGACCAAGTGTTGTCATCCTCAGAGTTGGGCCTTCTCCTGGGAGGTCTTTCTTGACTACTGTTCCCTAGTGCAAGTGATCTCACACTCTACCTCTTGCTTTCTTTTGTCACTCTTATTATCTGTGTGCATACTGTCTTCCCGGCTGGAGTTTGTTGGGACTTCTTTCGTTAATGTCTGTGTCCTTAGTGCCTGGAATATTTATTGCTCAAGGAATTAGTGCTCAAGAAATATTTATTGAATGGTTCAACATCTTGTCTACCAGGACTGCATAACTTCCTCTTTCTCACCATTCAAAATGTCTTCTTTCCTCTTCTCCTTGAAATCACAGTCTTAGACTACACGCAGTTCGATTCTTTCTGCTCTCTGGGCTCATCTCCTTTGTCAAGGTCGGTCTCAATCTGTGCATCATTTTCATTGAGCCTTGAATGCTCCTGTCCTCCTCCTGTTGGTTCTTTGAATTCTGCCCCTTCATTCAAAGTTGGTTCTACATTGCCTTACCTTGTGAAGGCTTTCTTCACTGTTTAATGCTTCATTGTTTTTTTTGCTTTCCTTGCATTATTTTTGACTCCATAATTGATTGTCAGCTGGGTAAGGGAAGGGATTCCATCTTCTTCTTCTTTTTTTTTTTTTTAAGATTTATTTATTTACTTAAAGGCAGAGTTACAGAGAGGCAGAAAGAGAGAGAAAGGAAGGTTTTCCATCCACTGGTTCACTCCCCAGATGGCCACAATGGCCAGAGCTGCACTGATCTGAAGCCAGGAGCCAGGAGCTTCTTCTGGGTCTCTCAAGTGCGTGCAGAGACCCAAGGACTCAGGCCATCTTCTACTGCTTTCCCAGGCCATAGCAGAGAGCTGGATGGGAAGTGGAGCAGCCAGGACTCAAACCAACGCCCATATGGGATGCCTACACTGCAGGTATAGGCGTTCCCTGCTTCTCCACAGAGCTGGCCCCATGGATTCCATGTTAACTCCTCCCTTTCCCCCTGGACAGGATTTATACTGTGTGCAGTGTGCCTGTGTGTGTAGTGTCTACTGACACAAAGCTTCCCCTCTGAGATGAGGCAGATCTGACCAACAGCCTGGCTTTTCAAAGTTGAGCAGCTTTCAGAAATATTTGGACAACTCTGTTAAACCAGGATTTTCTTCAATGTAATTTTTTTTATCTTGTTACCAGAGTACCAGAGATGCAGAAATCAAACTGAAAAGTGAAAGCAGAGTGAAGCTTTTTTACTTGGATCCTGATGCCCAGGTAAAAACTACATGAAAATTAAAAATTTAAAACAAAGTGTGGGAGAGGAGAAAACTTTGATGTGGTTATTTGTTTTTTGTATGTTTGTTTGGATTGACAAGCAATATAACAATATTGGAGATTTGAGGAAAAGAGGAAAAATAGAAGCAACCTATAATCTTATCATCATAACACAACTGTTGTGAAACTTGATATTCAATAGGTTGTTAAAAATTTAGATTTATCCAAAGACTGTTAAAAATTCCAGATTTAATCACAAAAAAACTCATCATTTACCCAGTAACCATTAGAAAAGTAGCACGGATGACTGCAGATGCCCTAAGGGGCAGTGATACTTCCCTGTTTGCCCAGGCTCGGGCCCCAAATAGAAACCTGCAGTACGTGTGGGCCCACGTCTGTGTCCCCAGGAAATCCAAACTGGAGTGTGGCAGGGACTTCCAGGGCTGCCCTGAGTGGTGAGCCCCTCTAAGAGCTGCCTGGAGGAGACAAAGGTTCTGTTGTATTTCTTCTCAAATGTGCCCACTCTTCATGAAGTCTTTTTGATAGAACTTCTTTTCCTGCGTAATTTTAATAGTAATAGTAATATTTTTCTGTGTTTCTTCACAGACCTAACAACCATGTACATGCATGTGTGTGCGTGTGTGTGTGTGTGTGTGTGTGTATGTGTGTATAGAGTTTATTCGATATTGGGCAGTCTGTTTTTGTGATAAAACATACTTAACATAAAATTCTCCATTTTACCCATTTTTATGTGTTCAATTCAGTGGCATTAAATACCTTATCAGTGTTATGCAACTGTTACCACCATCTATTTCCAGAATGTTTTGATCTTTCCAAGCTTAAACTGTATCAAAAAATAATTGCTCATTCGTTCTCCCTCCTTGCCCCCTGTAACCTGTACTCTACTCTCAGGCCTATGAATTTACCTGTTTTAGGAACCTCATTTACATGGACTCATACAGTGTTTGTCATTTTGTGTCTGGTTTTCAGGGTATATCTATGTTAAAGCAGAAGTGAGAATTTCTTTCCTTTTTATGACTGCATAATATTCCATTGTATGCAAATGCTTCATTTCTGTAGCCACACACATCTTGGGCTGTTCGTACCATGATAGGTCAGCTCTGTATCACCATTTGTTGAGTACATCTGTCATTGTTAAGTTGACCATCATTATCAACTATATCAAACTATTGAAACTACATGAATATTGTAAATGAGTAAATGAATGTATATAGCTTTTCCATATGTTAGGAAGTTTCCTTTGGGTACATTTATGTTAACATTTTTTGCTGGCAGCCCAACAATACAATTATAGTTTCATGTTTTCTTTTGAAGAAGCTTGACTTCTCATCAGCTGAGCCAGAAGTGAAGCCGTTTGAAGAGAAGTTTGGAAAAAGGATTCTTGTCAAGTGCAATGATTTGTCTTTTAATTTGCAATGCTGTGTTGCTGAAAATGAAGAAGGACCTACTACAAATGTAATCTTCCTTTTTAAAATTAAAGGTTTTTTTTTTTAATACTCAGAGGTTTCTGATGTGCCCATTACAGTACAGCCTGGATGTGAAATCCTGGTTCCCTGGGATCAGAGAGGGGTGGTGTTTGGATCGGAATGTGGATTTAATCTAGATTAAATCTAGTGTCCATTCTGCGGGGCACGTGTCCGGGAAGGGGGTTAAGGGTGGTGAGTTCACGGTCGGTGTTCCAGGGGACTCTTGAGGGCCAGCGCCTCGCTGTTCTGTGGAGCTTACATTAAGTAGAAAAGCACATAAAAGTAAAATAGTGCATTTGTGTTTCCTGAGATGTTTTGTAGCCTAATTCTCAGTTTGATGAAGGGCAAGACCATCTCTAGTGACTTATGCCAGCAGTTGTAATTGGGTGTCACCCCCACGTCTTTGACTCTTTGACAGCAGCGTCTGTTCCGCACCCCCAGCTTGGGATCCTAGTGATCATCTGCACTGTTTTGTTTTGTTCAGGTGGAGCCTTTCTTTGTTACTCTGTCGCTCTTCGACATAAAATACAACCGAAAGATTTCTTCTGACTTCCACGTGGACCTAAACCACTTCTCAGTGCGACAGATGCTGGCCCCCTCGTCCCCGGCTCTGGTGAATGGCGGGCACAGCCCTCCCGCCTCTCAGGCTGCCCTGCACGAGGCCTCCATGCAGTATCCGAAGCAGGTGCGGAGCAGGGGCCCGGGGGTGGTGCTACTCGAGTTTGTCATGCGCGTCGGAAATGCCCAGTGCCATCTCGTTGGGCACAAGTGGGGTGACGTCGGCTGTTAGTTATACTGAGGGCAAATATAATTAGGTGTAAAAGCATGCAGAGAGGAAATCGGTTTTTGACATTTCCTGTCTTTTTTCTACAATTTTCTCTTGGTTGCCTTCCCTGTCAAAGAGGCTTTCTGAGCAGATGATGCTGACCATTTTGGCCGTGGGCGCTTCTTCCCAGCTCCACCGTTTCACTGACCGTTGCTGCTTTCGTGTTCATGGGATATGTTTAACACAGCTGTAAACTGAATTTGACTTACGGAAGAAAATTATTTGTGCCCTAGGGAATATTTTCCGTCACGTGTCCTCATCCGGATATATTTCTGGTGGCTAGAATTGAAAAAGTCCTTCAGGGAAGCATCACACATTGTGCTGAGCCATATATGAAAAGTTCAGATTCTTCTAAGGTACGAATGACTTTGATGTTTTGCGGTGATAACAATCTGATAAAAGGGCTTTCTGTCAGATACAAGTGCTGAAATCACAAGTAGGCTTGGAAAAAATAAATGCCCGAGAGAGCACTCCTACCCACTGGGTCACACTCCAAACGCCTGCAACAACTGGCGCAGGGCAGGGTCTGAAGCCAGGAGCCGAGAATTCCATCCAGGTCTCCCCTGTGAGTGGCAGAAACCCAATGACTTGAACCATCACTGTTGCCTCCCAAGATTTGCATTGGTAGGAAGCTGGAGTCAGAAGCCAGAGCTGGGAATCAAATAGTACACATTTAAGTATCCATATAAAAGTTGTGCATATTTATCAGATGCTATATGATGTTCTACTACATGCACATATTGTGCAATGTTAAATGTTTGAAGAAATAGATGTATTTACCCTGATGGGACATTATATGTTATACACATAGATTATTTTTAAAATTAATCATTTGGCTAATAATTCTTTCTGTCACAGAATGTCAAGTTTACAGACACCAGAAAATAAATTTCTATAAAGTCTCAAAAAAAAGTAAGCTTGATGTATCATCTGAAAGATACAGAATACATACATTGACTCTTATATTTAACTTTGTGTCTGATTTTTTAAATGTTGTCAATTTATTATTTATTTATTTATTTGGTAGGCAGAGAGCCACACATTCAGAGATCTTGCACCTGCTGGTTCACTCCCCCAAATGTCTGTAACAGCCAGGCCTAGGCGAGATCAAAGCCAGGAACTGGGAATTCAGTCTGAATCTCCCACTTGGTTGCAGGGACCCAGGTACTTGAGCCATCACCTGCTGCCCCCCAGGGTGCATATCAGCAGGAAGCTGGGCTCTGGAGTGGAGCTGGGCCTGAAATCCAGGCACTCTAGTATAGCATGGGAGTGTCCCACGCAACAACTTAACTGCCGTGCCAAACACTGGCCTCTGTGTCTGATTTTTAATGAAAAGCTGTCCTGTGTGTAAATAATATGTTTCATTTGGCTAGTCTGTTCTGACATCCTAAAATAATGTGTAAAGTAATTAATAGCTTAATAGTCAACTTTGTGTCCTTAAGAAGTACATGTGTTATATTCAAAGTTCTTTCAACTGTCGATGATTGGTCCTTTTTTTTTTTTTTTCACATCTCTGACAGGCAGAGTTAGTGAGAGAGAGAGACAGAGAGAAAGGTCTTCCTTTTTCCGTTGGTCCACTCCCAAAGTAGCCGCAATGTCCAGCATGTTGTGGCCGGCGTGCTGCGCCAATCCGAAACCAGGAGCCAGGCGCTTCCTCCTGGTCTCCCATGTGGGTGCAGGGCCCAAGGACCTGGGCCATCCTCCACTGCATTCCCGGGCCATAGCAGAGAGCTGGACAGGAAGAGGAGCAACCAGGACAGAACCAGTGTCCCAACCGGGACTAGAACCTGGGGTGCCGGTGCCGCAGGTGGAGGATTAGCCTAGTGTGGGGAGCAAACCAGACTGGACTGAGTTACTGGAATTGAGACTTATTCTATGCATCTGCTCTCCCACAATATGGCGCTGGGAGAGAAGTAAACAGCTTCTACCCAGCTGCCTCCAGTTCAACCAATAAACTGTAGGACTTGCTCCTGATTGGAGAGCAGCGTACTCGGCGTGTGGGCAGCCGAGTTAGGATTGGCGGAGGAGGACTATAAAGGAGGAGAGAGACGGCATGCACCAGGAACATCTAAGGGGAACATCTAGCTGAAGGAACACCTGTGCAGCCCCCGAGAAGAGCCGGCCGGCGGTGTGCCGCTCCCCTGCGGAAGTGGGGAATGTGGCCAGGGGGAACCGCCCTTCCACGGAGGTGGAAGGGATAGTAGCCAACCCGGGAAGAACCAGCAGCAAACCCGGGGAGGGCCGAGCAGACGAAAGAACAGCGCAGGGTCCTGTGTTGCTCCTCCACGAAGAGGGGGAGCGACAGCCTAGTGAGCCACGATGCTGGCCAGATGATTGGTCCTTTGGCTCTGGAATTAGTTGTTGGTTCATTTACATTCGTATGAGACTGGAGGCTGGGAGATACCCTTGGCTCAGACAGTCTGGCTGTCAGTGTCAGTGGTTCAGGTCCACTTGGATTTTGTTAGAGTGGGCAGGATTGTGGTGGCAGAGATGGTGTGATCTTAGGTAGAAAGGGGAAGCATACAAGGCATGTATTTGCTGCATTTCAAAATAGTGTCCATTTGGGGGAAGGCCCAGATGAGGACATTCCATAGCATTATTGAATATTAGATGTTGTCTAGTCCAGAACCCCCTTTCATATTTCAGAGGCATGCCAAGGTTTAGTTACCTGATCAGTGTTGCACAGCTAGAATGGCCACAGAGCATCTGTTACCTTCTTTTTTTAAAGATATATTTATTTATTTGAAAAGCAGAATTGCAGAGAGGCAGAAGCAGAGAGAGAGAGAGAGAGAGGTCTTCCATCCGCTGGTTCATTCCCTAGATGGCTGCAACAGCCAGAGCTGCGCTGATCCGAAGCCAGGATCCAGGAGCTTCTTCCAGGTCTCCCACACGGGTGCAGGGACCCAAGGACTTGGGCCATCCTGTACTGCTTTCCCAGGCCATAGCAGAGAGCTGGATGAGAAGAGGAGCAGCTGGAAGTAGAAGTGGTGCCCATATGAGATGTCGGCACTGCAGCTGGCGGCTTTTCCCACTACACCACAGCACTGGCCCCTGACTGTCACTGTCTAGCACATTGTGTCACCTGATAAGAATAATGATGGGAGTGCTCTTGTCCTGGCCACTTTTATAATATTTTTTAGTTTTTTTTTTTTTTCTAAAAAAAACTTTAGCAGTCATCGGAGAGATGGCCTTGGGTACATTAACAAGGACACCCCAGAGGCTCTAACTGAGGCCTGATACATTGATTCAGAGCCTCCTCCCTCATCTCTGCAGCCACCCTCACATCACAGGTGTGTCCCGCAAGATGCAGCATGGTCGTGACAGTGCAGGTTCTGGGAGCGAGGAGACCGGGATGCTGTGCACCTCACCAGCCAGCGTACTTGTCACCTCTCTGGGCCCCAGATGTGAAGGACGGTGTTGCCGCCTGTCCCTCTTTCCTCGCGGGATAGTGTTAGAGTCACAAACACAGGATCCAGGAGGCAGAGCCGTGGACATGAATCACTGGAAGCAGGGAAGACATCGTTATTTATTACAGCTCCAGTCAAGTAAAAGCCCATTAACCCAGGCACATCGCTTCACACACTCAGCCTCTGGGCTGATAAATGCTAAGTAAAGTTTGGTCTCTGGAGAGAAGCTGTTTTATTTTTTTTTAAACCAAGTCTGTAAAACCTTGGATGAGAAGCTCTTTTAACTCTTTTATGTTTTGGTTAATAATCAACAAAGGCCTCCGATAAGATCTGTTGCCCTGCCTGCATGTGCAGCACATTTCCAAGGCCCCTCCACACCACCAGTGTTACTTCTGCCCACCACACGCACGGTGTGCAATCTGGCAGCTGGCACTGATGCAGTACTCACATGTCACTGTGTAAACTTCACCCAGTTTCCGGGGTCCCCTGGCAACCACAGAAGTCTGATTTTCCTTCCTTGTTTATGGACTATAGAGCTCATCCGTGTGTGCATTGTTCTTGTGTTCATTTTCCTGCCACCTTCAGAGCATTAAACTGAAGCAGGGGTTAAGGCTCAGCCACCTCACCGCAGCATAGATGTTATGGTGAGATTCCTTTCTATCAAAATTGTCAACTTTTTTTCCCGCAAATAATCTAGAACTTAATTTGGAGTTCATTTTCATTTTGGAGGAAGTATTTATGCAGTGTCTGTAGGTATTTACATGAATCAGGTTTTTCAAAAAAAAAAAAAAAAAAAGGAAAAAGAAAAAAAAACCCAAAAGGTATAAACATGTCTGTCACCCTTTCACACTCTTCTGTTCTAATTTGTGCCACTGTTTAAGTCTGAGAACTGAATCCTTGTTTGTGGCATGGAAGACTGAAAGGTTTCCTAGCTTTGTGTTTTAGCTTTAAATTTTATTCAAATACTGCATTTTACGTTAAAACATACTCATTATTGTTGAAACCTACCAGTCCTGATCCTGAAAATGTTTAAGTAAAATTGGACTTCTGGCAAAGTAGGCCCTTTTCCCCTATGACTGTGTACACCTGAGACCCCCCACTAAATCACACAGAGAGGCAAGAACGTACCCTAAAAAGGAAAAAAAATGAGGTAGGTCCCTTTGTAACCCAAGGTCTTCACTTTCTACACAAAGAAATTGGAGCCAGGTCAGAGTGTGACTTAGAGACAGGCGACTCCATCCTGCTATTCCTGAGTCTTAGAGATAGCACTTCATGACCTGCTGGTGCACACACGTCACTGGAGAGCCTACCCAGGTGCAGGTTCTTACGCAGGGGCGTTGGCTTGGGGCCTAAGACTCTGCGTTTCCAACAACGATGCTGATGCTGCAGCTCAGCTGAGCACCTCTCCCAGAATCGATTTGACCTTTATGCATTCAAATCATGTCCCAGCCCCTTCAGCCCGCCACTTCTGCTCTCTCAACAAGCAGCCTGCATTGCTAACAGTGCACTAGCATAGCATGGGTGAATTTAGAAAAACTTGATAGGTCAACCCACAGCAAACCGAAAGTGACCATTAGAAAGTGAAAATGGCATTAATCTTTACTTGGAAAGTAAGCATATAGCAATTAAAGAATCTTGGCCCCACCTGAGTTGGTACTAGAATATCTTAATGACAAATGCTTCTCTCCTACACTGTGGGCATCTTTACACAGTGATAGACACCAGGAGCTGTGATATCTTAGTATATTTATGAATGCCCTCATTTAAATTCTAGTGTAGGGGCCAGCACTGTGGCGCAGCTCTCTGCTATGGCCTGGGAAAGCAGTAGAAGATGGCCCAGATCCTTGGGCCCCTGCACCCATGTGGGAGACCTGGAAGAAGCTCCAGGGTCCTGGCTTCAGATCAGCCCAGCTCTGGCCACTGACCATTTGCAGAGTGAACCAGTGGGTGGAAGACCTCTACCTCTCTCTCTGTTGCTCTCTGCCTCTGTGTCTGTAACTCTGCCTTTCAAATAAAGAAATAATTTTTTAAAAATAAGTCAATAAGTAAATTTTAGTGTAGTTTTTTAGTTATTTATTTGAAAAGCAAACTGACAGAAGTAAAGGGAGGGGCAGAAAGAGGGAGAAAAGGAAGAGGGAAAGGCAGAAGAAGAGGTAGAAAGAGGGGGGAAGGGATCGATCTTCCCTCTGCTTGTTCATGCACCAAATAGCTGCAGCACCCAAGTCTGTGCCGGCTGATGCCAGGACCCAGGAGCTCCATCCTGGTCTTGCACGTGGGTGGCAGGGGTCTAAGTATTCAAGCCATATTTCACTGCCTTCCCAGATGCATTAGCAGGAAACTGGCTCAGAGGTGGAGCAGCCAAGGCTGAAGACAACGCTCCGATATGGGATGCCAGCAGTGGCTGTGGTGGCTGAACCTGCTGTACCACAATGCCAGCCCCAACTGTTAGTGTTTACTAGTAACTCAGTGGACTTATCATCAGCACGCCTCAGTCATAAAGAAGTATGAAAACCTGTGACATAGGATATTTGTTTCCTGCAAAGACCAGAGAAAAGACACCCATTTTACAAACAGTCTTCATTCAGTATTTCTTTAAGCCTCACTCCTAGAGAATGCATTTAATAGAGAACTCTGCACTTAGTGTGAATCCATCCATATCGATTACTCTAAGGTGTGCGTCTCCATACGGCTGATGCTCTGTGAGAGCTTGTTTATGAGGGTGTGATGATGACTCTAAATGGCAGTTCTGTCGGGGGATGCAGCGTCTCATGGCTTCATTCTGATGTCTTCAAGGTCGCTCAGAAGGTGCTGAAGAATGCCAAGCAGGCCTGCCAAAGACTAGGACAGTACAGGATGCCGTTTGCTTGGGCTGCAAGGTAAGGGGACACCTTTGTACCTTGTGTGTAGACAAAGACAGGCAGGCAGATATGCACGTTCTGTTTGGTGACCAGAGCCAAAGAGGATTTGAATGTGTCAAACTGAGAAATAAGCAAGCCCCATATCAGAAAAATAATTCAACAGAATCACAGAGAGCAAAGATGCTGGCCAGAGAGCTGCCGTCTGTAACTGGCAGGTGGACAGGAGTGTTGGCTGCAGAGCTGGTGTTCCAGGGACCAGCCACTTGCCTCATATTGGAAGTGGTGGCAACCACAAAGGTCTACAGTGGCCTTTATCCATGGTCTCTGCTTCTTAAGCACCAGACTGTGTATGTTGTTTCCTAAGCACAAGCCCTTTGCTGGAACTGTTTTCTATGTAAATTGAGTTAGTTGTGTTCATCCTCATTAATGTTTTCCATGTTTTTAGATAATGAGATTTCTGTTGGCTGTAGCCAATGGAATAATAATTAGTCTATGCCATTAAAACCAGAGCTAAACGGTGGATTTATTTTAGTCTTCTGGAAACTCAGTTTAAAAATGTTGCTTTGCTATTCTAGGACCTTGTTTAAGGATACATCTGGAAACCTTGACAAAAATGCCAGATTTTCTGCCGTCTACAGGCAGGACAGCAATAAGCTATCGAATGATGACATGCTCAAGTTACTTGCAGACTTTCGGAAGTGAGTTTCTTGGTCTTATTTCCATGCCTGAATACCAGAGGTTGTGTGGTGAGGATGGGAGGAGTGGGGTAGTAGTTGTGTAAATTACTCAACTCAAACCTCATTGAGGATGGAGAATGGGTGTGGAATGTTTGCTCAAGTCCTTGCGAAGGAAGAAAGGGTTCAAAATCAGAGGAGTCGCTTGGCTAATTTGATTCTGCACAGGGTATTTAAGTGTTCCTATGGTTTAGGGATAGGGAGAGCCTAGATAGGAGGAAAGAGATATTTGAGAACCTTTGTTGAGATAGGAGAGAGAGAGGAGAAAGTTCTCACAAAACACCTGCCAGAGGAAATAAGGAGGGACTAATTCAGAATTTGCCAGAGGGACACAGTTGTTGAGTCTTGGCTTCCTGATTGGGGGTTAGGGTGGAAGGAGAGAGGAGTGCTAACCATCTGAGATAAGTAGCTCCCAGGTTTGACTTGTGAGATGCAGCGACTTGTGGTACCATTAAGTGAATGGTGGGGAAAGATAGTCACATGTTACTTACTGTTTGCAGCATGGTTTTGGAGCTTTTCTTACGTTAATGAGCCTATTCATTTCCTAGGACTGCAGTAACAAAGTGCTACGAACTGGGTATTCTAAAACAACAGAGATTTATTCTCTCCTAGTTCTCTGCAGCAAAAACCCAAAATCAACACGTTGGCAGAGCCACACTGCCTCTGAAGCCTCCAGGGAGGATCCTTCCTGGCCTCTTGAAGTTTCTGGGAGCCCCAGGCATTCCTTGGCTTGTGGTAGCATCACTCAGATCTCTGCCGCTGTCTTCACATGGCTGTCTGCCTGAGTGTCTCTGTCTAAACGTTCTTATGAAAACACCAGTCATACTGGGTCAGGGCCAACTCCACTGACCTCATCCTAACTGATTGCATCTGCAAAGACTGCTTCCAAATAAGGTCACGTTCATAGGTGACAGGGGTTAGGACCTCACTGTATGATCTTGGAGAACACAGTTCAGCCTACAACAGCAAGGCCAAGGGAGACTAAGCCCTGTGTCCTTTGTCACGCAGCTGGTTGTGGTGCAGGGAGTCTGGCTGGCTGTACTCTTAAGCGCTCTGCTGTTTTGCTGCTCCGTCCTAACAGTCACTTCTGAGCTTGTAGACCTGATCTCCCTTCCTGGGAAGGTGGATTTGATACTTTTTCTGGGGAAATGCTGGGGATGAGAAAATGCTGAGGGTGTTAGAAGATAATGAAACAAAAACAGTATCCAGCCATGTAGAACCCCTGTCCCTAATGAATTGCAATATGAGAATCGACTGCAAATTTTCTCCCCAAACTGTACTCTGTATGTTGTTTATGTGCAAATTATTGAAGTCTATGCTTAGCATGGAGTTGGTCCTCTGTATATAAAGTCATACTAAAAGTGAACCATAATGAAGAAAGAGATGGGAGAGGGAGAGGCAGGTGGGATGGGAGCTGGGGGCGGGGCTGGTAAGGGGGAAAGAACCACTGTATTCCTAAAGTTGTATCTATGAAAAAATGCATTCATTAAATAAAAACTAAAAAAAAGAAAGACTATCCAAGAACCAGGAATTAACTATTGTATGCTGCAGGGGTACCTTTTAGTCTTAACTTTGTTATTTGAAAAATACATATCAAAATAACAATTTTATCAGTGTTCCTAGAACTCAAGAATGGCTGTTCAACTCTCTTTAACTTCACTTTTACCTTTTTCTTACTTGTTTTTCTGGTAATAGTAGAAGATAAGTGGATTATAGAAATAGGCTCCATAAATTCAAAAAACCTAGAGATGTGTTGTATATTTATTTATTTTGAAATTATTTTTTATTTGAGAGGCAGAATTACAGAGAGAGGGAGAGAAGGGTCTTCCATCTACTGGTTTACTCCCCAAATGGCCATCAGTGTCGTAGTGGGGCCGATCAAATGCCAGGAGCTTCTTCCTGAGACCCACAGGTCTCCCACGTGGGTGCAGGGTCCCAAGCACTTAGGCCATCTTCTGCTGCTTTCCCAGGCCATAGCAGAGAGCTGGATCAGAAGAGGAGCAGCCAGAACATGAACAAGTGCCCACAGGGGTTGCCAGTGCTGCAGGTGGAGGCTCAGCCTACTGTGCCACAGCGCCGGCTCTGAGATGTATGGTCAATACAAATCTCATGTCTATAGACAGCCTTAGCCTTCAGAATGACAGAATCCTTTACCAAGAACTTTAGAAAGGTAGAAAGGGTGCAAAGTCTTAGGTGGAGCTAGGAGACTCGTAATGACAGTGATGAGGAACTCTCAAGGTCTCTCTCAATTGTGTGTTTCTGCAGTTTTTGACTGGATTGATGTTTTCCACGTTTGGAACGTTAATGAGGAATGTGACCTCAGTGTGGCTATCAGTAAACTAATATTCTCCCCTGTGCCAGTCCAGCAAAGCAGTGGACATTCCCACTGGGCTGATTATGGATGAACCTTTCCCCAGCTCACTTAGGTAGTTAGAGAAGGGGTAGGTGAAGGATGAGGCCTGCTGTGCTGGCCTTGCGGGGTTCCTGTACCACAAGTTGCTGGTCATTGTCTGCCAGTTGTGTACCCTGGTAGGGGCAAAGGGGGTGGTCAGAAAGTGCAACTGGATCCCAGTGGTTCTGTTACCATAGAGATTCAGCCATTTGTGAATATAACACTTGTTTAGTACAGAAATTTTGAGAAATACAAAAGAATAAAAGGAAGACAAATGACTTCTAGTTTTATCTTTCATAGAGGACCATGCTGAACTTTTAGGGGGTGTTTTCTTTGTTTTTGCTTTTTGAGTTACTGTTTGAAAGAGAGGGAGAGCGAGAAAGAGAGAGAGCATGTTCTTAGCCACTGGCTCACAAATGCCTACAAAGCCCAGGGCTATGCCAGGCCAAAATCAGGATCCAGGAACTCCTTCCAAGGTCTCTCATGAGGGTGCAGGACCCACGTCTGCTTTCTCCCAGGTACATTAGCAGGAAGCTGGGTCAGAACTGCAGAGTAGCCAAAACTCAAACCAGGTACTCCAGTTGAAGATGTAGTCTTCACAGGTGGCAGCTTAGCCAGGTGCATAACAACATCTGTCCTAGTGGGTATTTTCTTTACATCTTTTTCAGTTCTGTGCAGTTCTGGTTATACTAGATATGTACTGTTTATTGGCTTGTGTAGTAATGTGAGTATTAACTCTTCTCCCAGTTTTGGACATGTATAGTGTTTCTGAATCTTTAGAATTACAAATATGAGGACACCTCAGAAAATTGGTGGAAAAATAGTCAAGAGATAAGTGCATTTTGGCACAAACATTTTTGAAATCCTTTACATAGTTTTTTTGTGGTACGCATTTTCCATGAATTTTTCAACAACTCCATATATGCATGGCTTTTGCAAATCTTTTTTTGGCACCAAAATAAGTGTATCTTTTAATTCTACTATCCATGAACTTTTTTAAATTACCTTTGTGTAACCCACAGTAAGCATCTTTAAAAAACCTTATTATAGGGTGTAGAGTATTATCATACACACAGGTACTATAGTGCCAGAAAGTAATTACTATCATTTTAAAATCTGAGTTCCAGAAACTTTCAGTCTTCCTTTATAGTTAATTCTTTTGAAAATGTAGTCACATTTAGTTAAATTGATTACCATTTTTTCTCTCAGTAGACTGCCATGCAATTCTTAATAATCATGATGTGCTCATTAGGAAAATGGATACTATATTGTTAAGGGAAGAAAATATATCTGTGTGACATCTTTTTTCAAAGAAAGTATTTTATCTATTTCTTTCTATATACAAATGAAGAAATGGACAGGCCTAAACATAGTCATACATGATATACAACAAGATACTAGTTACGGTTATCTCCAAACAATGGGTCTCTGGGTGAATTTTCATTTTTCACTTTATAGCGTTTCATCACTTTTACATGAGCTTTTTAAAAAAGCTAATATTTGCTTTTATATTCGAACTCCAAAAAAGTAAAGATTTTTACACGTGATGGAAGTTGGAGCCCTGTCTCAGAAGTTACCTTCTATGCGGGTTAACTTGAGACTTCCTCATAGTGACCGTTCTTCAGGGTAACTCCAGCTCACTGTCCTGTCCTCTTCAGTGGAGGTTGCTAGTTGGGACTTCAGGTCACCAGTGCAAGCGACCTGAGCAGAAAGCCAGGCCCAGAGAGCACCGGCCTTCGTTGGTTCAGAGCATGTGGGGAGCCCAAGTGTGGGTTCTGTCCTGCACGCCATGCCTCATGCTCGTGCTCCCGATGGCCAGTAGAGACCCTGAAGCCCCCTAATAGGAATCTGATGGGAAGAGCAAACAGATACAGCAGCGTTCGTAGAGCCCTGTCTTCGGTAAGAACCCACAGTGGCCCTGGTGTCCGTACCCTCTCCTTACAGCAGAGCCAGGGACGTGCAGGTCCCTTTCTCAGTTTTTTCTAAACATTAACATTGCTTTCTCTCTCTCTCTCTTTCTCTCTCTCTCTCTTATCTCATGTCAGGGATCTGGCAAAGCTATTGTTTCTGCTCCCATGATTTTTTTCAAAATGTCAATAATGGATGAGACAGATTTCTGAAGCTGTTTCATTCTTTACAAAATAGCTGCCAAAGCTCATTAGCCACATTCCCCCTTTTTCTTGCGATAATTACCCAGGGATATGTTCCAAGAGTTCATAAGAAAACAGTTCTGTCAGATAGATGGTATTACTGACATACATGTTCCAAGAAATATTTTTGTAAGAAGAGAGACTTGATATTTTACATTTGACTTGCTCATGGTTTGGGGTCTTTTCTAACTTAGGCAGGAAATGAGGGTGTAAAGACAAAGTATACAAATGGAGAAATTACTTTAAAATGGAAACCTTTTTATCCTACTGCATTGGATAGTTTAATTTATAATACTACTTGGATTTTTGCATATAGTACTTAATGCATCTGTGTTTATTTGCAGTTTTATTTTCTTTGCATCCAAGTATTACATTCTTTGCCCCATTTCATTCTGGTTATGCTGAACCCAAGTCATGGGGAC